CAACTTGTTTATCAAACCCACATTGTGACGACTTAACATGGTCACTGAATTACAACATAAAATAATTAGTGACTAGAAAAAAGTTGTCATTATATGTATGAAAAATAATGACATTTTAGTTGAAGTTTTACAAAAAATTTTGAACCGCCAAACAGTTACTTTTAACAGGAAAAAAAATACTTAATTTTGATTCATAGCGACTAACCCTAAAAGTTACTAACATATAGTTACTTTAAACTGAAAAAATACAATAAAACGATGTCTATCCTAATGACAAAAAAGATAAACCTTATATGGATGAAAATGTCAGAAATAGAAAAATTAGATCAAATCAATACACTTCATCAAACCACAAGGGTTAAAATGTAATTTACCCTAAAATACGAGTGTCAGATACAAGACACGTAGACCATTGCACATATAACCAATCTCTCTGATCGTTTCTCCGTCGTTCTCCTCCACCATCTGCAAGCCCTAAACCTTCCCCAATCTCCAATTCATCGTCTCCAAATCCAATTTCTACTACCTAGGGTTTTTATATCAGCTGAGAGTTTCAAGGATCTGGTAAAAAACAAGTTCGAAGGCAATCAACCATACCGATAACTCCTCGTACCGATTTCATACGCGACGATCGGAACACAAACCGAAACCCTATTAGTACTGCTTCATCATCGCGATCTGAGTGGTGTACAATCGACGAATCATTGGGGCTATCGGAGCAGGATTATGTTGGTTACGCTCGTATGTTTTTCATATTTGGATTATTTTGCTACCAATGTCGTGGGCCGTCAGTTGCTACTACTTCTAACTTGTCCTTCGTGACTCTCACTCTCTCCCCCAAATCTGCCTCTGTAAGTCAATTTCATTTTCAATTTGGGAGAAATCCTCACATACTATAAGCACATTTTGATTTATTCTCTTTACAATAAGTTGAATCTTGCTCTTCATTTTGATATATAAACATTTGACGCAAGAAACATCATTTGCAATGGCACAAACTTGTTTGGTCAGTGTCTGTATTCCAGATTTACATTTTGAATTCAGAAAGTATCTTAAGACATTGTTATACTTCAAGTTGGAAAATTATGATAATGTGAATGCAAACTTGGTTTGACATAAAACATCAAATTTCAGCATTTTCGTGGTGGCTGCAATAGCATTAGAACTAGAATTAGATTAAATATTATAGAGGAATCTAGAAGAAATGGATCTGAGGCATAATGGGGATATATCCAAGGTAGATCCTCACAGGGGTGTACTTACAGTCACAATGTTTGTAATGCTTGGAAACATGATTAAGCATGATCACTTTGTTGCTCCCGTTTCTCATCATATATGTTTTTTTCTTCACTCTTGCTTGCTTATACACTATATACATATTCGGAAGCAATCATGGGATCCATTCCTTATACACTCTGATCCATTATTTGCTAACTCGCTTCAGTATATCTCTAACATCCTTCTGCTATTGGATCTAAAAATATTCATATTATAGTGCACTCCTTTTCTCATTCATGATAATTGAGGAGATTATTTTTTTGTTATAGGTGAAACACGCCGGAAGGACTCAAAATTTTGATGACAATAATGATTCAGAGTAGAGTTTTGCATCAAATTATGCAGAAGAGGCAGAAGAATCCAACGTATTTGTCACTTTCTCCTTAATTGATGGACAAGAATATCATGTCTCCCATGCATGTTGACTTCATCTTGTTGCTTTTTCTCTTTTCTAGATCTCTATTTAGCTTGATATTTGACCGTGGCAGATTGTCAAGCTTAGATTGCTGATACCTAAACAACTTCAAAGATTCATGTATGTAGCTCATAAAGTCATAACATATGTTTTTGTATTACCTCTTAAAAGAAATTCATTGTTTTCTTCATAACCATTTTAGGAATTAATCTTTCTGTTTGGTGATTTCTCAGGTTCTTGGATGCAAAAAACGAGAATAAATTTTGTTGTAATTGACTCACTTGATGCACCTTCCAGGTTATATGACATTGAAAAGTTTGTAAATAGCCTAAAACCGAAAAAGAGCAACATAAAAAAAACAACGTTTGATTTCTTGATTTAATTTGAATTATTGATTGATTTCAGGAGGGAATAATGTCAATGGACAAGAAGTCAAAGTTTCTTAAATTTGAATATGAGAAGGTGATTGACTTCTACATATGTTCACAGATTGATGTAATATTTTTATATTTTCATGGTAAAGAAGAGGTTGTGTATAATCCTACTTTGTACAAAGGTGAATGTATGATGTGCTTACCTTTTAGTCACTTATGTATTGTATATTATGCGTTTGTTTAAATTTGAGAATAGTTCTATGCTAGTTACTTAAATGGGTTAAATGTAATATATAACAACCGAAATCAGTGACAACTTTGGGTAACTCAGTAATGACTTTTATTGGTTGCTAATTGGGGAAATCAGTAACGACTTTTTATGATCACTAATTGGACAAAACAATGATGACTTTCATTGATTAGTGACAACATTTGGTGACGAAACAGGTCATCACATATTTAGTGACCAATATATTTTAGTCACTAATTAGTGACCACCTTTATATTTTGGTCACTAATCAACTTTTGTGATGGACCTATAGTGACGATCAGAAGTTTGGTCACTAAATCAGTTAGTAACGACTCCTTCTATTGTTAGTGACCATTTTGTTTCGGTCAGTAATTGACATTTTTTTTGTAGTGAGACCTAAAATATTAATTACAAATTTTTATGCTCATTTGAGATGGTTGAGTTTAACATTTCAATCATGATGTATTTGAATTAGTTATTGAAGTATAAAGAGGCAATAAATTAAATACATTTTGCGTGCATATGTTTATGACAATTTAAATTTTGTTTTCGTTACTGAACATATGTATGCAATAGCATAAAAATAAATATTTCAGTGTACCCTATATCAATTTAATGAAAAACTGAATATTAATAATAAAATACTAGAATATAATCACTAGTAATAATACATATGGTGTAAAAAAAGTATAGTGATCTAAATAAAATTGTTTTAGGACAATGAATATAAATAGGTGGGGTATTTTTTTATAAGGTTTAATGTTACGAAAATCATTATTAATATGAGCTTATCCTATTTTAATTTTAATATTTTTTTGTTCCCTATATATCATTATATCTTGGAAAATTTTCATTTTTGAGTCATTATTACGGATATGTTATGGTGATGTGTCATTTTGGCTGCCATAATTTTTTTTTCTTAGTTTGCATTTAGTCATAATATTTATTTTCCAGCTTGTGTTTTGTCCGAGAATTCTTACTGTTCTCCATTTGTCATTATTTTTTAGATTTTTTAAAAATTTTAGCTCTTAATCCATTTACAGTAAATACTTTAAAGTGAAAAAAAAGACCATCAATGACTAATAATTTCACGTCACCATGACAATGTATTCCTAAGAACTGTTATAATTATTATTATTTTATCAAAACTAATATTTGTTCATGAAAATAATTTAGAACGTTATAAATATTTGAGTATCTTTTACATGGCTTTTGGCTACTTCTTCTTCTTCTTTTTAATTTTTGTATATCCTTTTTCAGTTTTGACCATCAATAATATACTTTAGAGAACTAATCCATGGATTTTCAAATAAACGCCACAATATTATATTCTTCTTTGTAAGGAGGACATTAGGACAATATTTGAAAGTACGAAATAATTGAAGGGGGGGGGGGGGTTAATATGGGAAAATAGGCCAGCATTGTACTGTCCTTGAAACATAGATTTGGTGTCACGTGTGGATGTATGATAGACATCGGAAAATGTCGAGTTTGGTTGCATGTTTGCTTTAAAATGAGTGGCATATTCTAGGCATTTTAAAATGTTCAAATAGATTAATGATTGTTTTTGTAGATTAATTTATGTTTTGTTTTTAAAATATATAAATCAATGAATACCCTATTGACCATATAATTAAAACCTCTTTTATAAAACTATTAATCTTACCAAAAGACTTATAGTCAAGTGGTATCGGACGTTGTTTTTCCTTTTTGAGATCGAAAGTTCTAGTTTTGTTAGAGATCTAGATAGATTTATGAGTAGTTTAGGAGTAAAGTAGATATATCACTTACAACAAATTATCAATTTCAAAAATAACATTGATAGTCATTTTCAAACTATAATTACTAAAATAAATTTGGTTTGAAAATCATGTTTTTTAAAGGTCAATATGAATATTTCAACTTGGTTCGAATATCTAATTTTCTAAAAGGGGATATTTTATTCGAGATCATAAAGTATTTTCAAAAAATATATTTTTTGGTTTTTTGAACCCATTTTGATTTTCGAATCCACAAAAATTCCAATAAACTAAATATGACATAAGGTTATTTTGAGTCAAACCAAGCCTAAGGGATCTTATATATAAGTGTATATATATTGTTTAAGTATGATACAATGATGTTATAATATATATATTTGGAGTTCATGTTACAATCACTACTAGAAAAAAAGCATTTTACGATGCTCATTGCACGTCGTAAAAGTCTCAGATGACGCGCAAATGCGTGTCAAGGAAGGCCCTGTCATAAAGAGAGGCGACGCGCTTTTGCGTGTCATTTATAGACGACGCGCATTTACGACACTGATTTACAACGCGCGTTTACGACACACAATGCGTATCAAGAAAGACCCTGTCATAAAGGAAGACGACACGCATTCGCGTGTCGTAACCTTACGACGCGCGTGTTAATGACACACAATGCGTATCCTTAAAACCCTTGTAAAGAAAGGCCATGTCATAAATGAAGATGTCACACATTTTTGCGTATCGTAAATTTAAATGTTTAAAAAAAATATATTTATATATTTATTAATTTTCAAATTAAATTTGCATTTACTATTTCATAATAGAAATAAAATACCATATAAAAAAATACAATCCATTGCATAAAATTTAATGTCATACAATTTTATTTCTTACAATATATAAATTTGCATTCATCTAATCTACTCTTGGAACTGTTAGAGAATAACTATACTAAGATTTGATAAAGAGCATTCTTTGCATCTAGGCGGTTGGTTTCCAAAACACCTGCTACTTTGTTGATCTTGCAATGAAGCTTCCCTGCTGCAATGAATCGTGACAGCTCCTTGTTTCCCCCTTCAAATTCAAACAATCACACACACGTTGTTAAAAAGACCATAATACCCTCATGGTACATATAGGAACAAATAATTCAACGAAAATAATGTTAGATAATTTGCTTACAGATCAATGAAATCGACTGTGACACCAAAAGCCTTTGCCATGGCTTCAATGGTGACACGAAGAGGCACATGCTGATTTATAAGGGGTTGCTTTTGATGATACGAAGAGGCACATGCAGTTCTTCTCAGCATCATAAGCAGAGACACCCAACGAACCATCCTAAACACATACGAGAAAAATGAATTCATAGAGTTCACAGAAAAAAAAGTAGAAGAATATGGTAATCTTGCAAACCTTTCTGTAGCATTGAGATCCCAGCTTGAAGATGTAGATGATAATGAAGACTAGATTAGCTGTAAATAATAAAGTTGGAGAAAAAGAAATTAAAGCAAGAAAAGCTTTTCTAGCTTCTCTGCAAGCATCTGCAATTAGAGATGGCCATTCAAAGCACTTTTAAAGGATCTTCTTTTCCTTGTGACTGCATGCTCTTAATAGATTATAACAAATGCAGTTTATGTTGGATTGATTTGTCATGTTAGTGACACTTGAAGAGCATACCAAAAAGTGAACCAGTTTTTGAACTCTTTATTGAGTGACCACGACGCCATCCCAATTTCAGCATCAATCAGACACCTAGTTATTAACAGCATGATGATAGTAAGATATAGTGAGATGCTATTCAAAATGAAATGAAAATTTTATATTAAATGAAAACAAAACCGATAGGATCTGTGGTTGGAACAACTATTTCAACAAGAGCAGATCCAGGAATAGAAATTAAACAAAAATTAATTAGATGTCATAAAGGGTGTGAGAGATAATAGAAATTGAACAAAAATAAATTACAAAAGAAAAGTAGATTGTACCTCTCATTTTTTCCTTTCTCAACCTGCTTCCTAGCCACTTCTGCTACAGTAAATCCAAAGGTGTCAAACTGCATTGATGTCCCCAAAGAATTACCTTCCAGTTCCTGCATTATAAAAACACAAAGCATGGTCATTAATAGATTAAAAATGATGGCAACTCACACTATCATCACAAAATGCAACATATCATCATAGAAAATGGATCATATTAGGAAACAAAATCACACATACAACTTTCTCATCGTCATCCTAAAAGTTTGAAAGATCTTGTTGCTTTATTTCAGCTCTATTCTTCCTTGATGAAGACTATGTTATTCAGGAAATAAGAGAACTCAATTCGCAGGTTTTCAAGTCGAAAACTGCTACTAGGAGTGGTTCTTCAGTATCTAGACCACTTGGATTCAAGAAGTTCTCTCCTGTGCTCGGGATTGGGGTGAATCACACACCAACAAAATCTCCTGCTTTATTTGCTGCTGCTATTACATCTCAAAATAACCAAATATTGACCTTTATCTGCATTACATATCATTCCTATTACGTCCTGAAGAGTCACAGTTTTAAACTCACCCAATTTATCTGCACCAAATATTGACCTTTATCTGCATTAAATATTATTTACATTCTTTTGGAGGTAGAAAGAGATGGGTGTAACTACAATAGTGTTGGCCTGGCTTCCTGTAACAATGAAAATTTGAACCAATTAATAATAATAATATGTGTAATCAATCAAACTAAAGTTAAACTTAAAGATAAGATTAAGATAGTTTAGTTTAGTTTACAAAAAGAAAGAAAGAAATTGATGATGAGTGACCTCTAACCAAGGGATCTAATGGTGTTTGCTCTTTGTTTTGGTGATTTTGGATTTCCCATGCTGTTGTTGTTCGTTAGGTGGTTTCCAGATGATATCTTCAAGATTGTTACAGAAATTCTTGTAAAACTGCATGCAGCCACCAACATTATTTAAGAATTACCAAAGTCTACAAAAACAAGGAAAAAAGGATAAGTTGCACCTGTAATTACCTCTGGTCCAACATAGTTGGGAGTTCCACAGGTTGTTCGAAGGATACTGACACCCTGCAAACACATAAATTAATGATGATGATCCTGATGGACGATACTATAACAACATATTCAAATCTTACTTCTATTGGCAATGCACTAAGTCCAAAATTTGAAATCTTTAAATTTCCTTGGGAATCTAACAAAAGATTTTCAGGCTGCAAAAGGAAAGCAAGAGGTAAAATAAGTAGATAGTGATTTAAAAGACTGATTTCATATATAATATCTAGGCTGGTTGTCCAAGTTTCAGGTTTTCCAAGATGTGCAGTTTAAAACATGGGCTAAGTTGCTTCCTGAGATTGTGATCATATTTTAGCATAATGTTATGGCATAATGTTACATTAGGGAGTAACTATTAACCGAAAATCCCCACAATCTTATTGAACCCAATTATTTATATCAGGATTTAATAATCGGATTTTAGCTGTAACATCCCGGAATCGCAAGAGTAGAGTTGAAGGGCTAAAAGTGTAAGTTTCAGAGGGTGACTCGGCGAGTCCATGGATAGACTTGGCGAGTCAGGTCGCGACTAAGGTCGCATATCAAGTGGCCTACTCGGCGAGTCCAAAGATGGACTCGGCGAGTAGTGCTGTATGGAGAAAACCCTAATTTTCGGGGTTGAGCCCTATATAAAGAGCATTATGCCCCTCCACAGCCTCCCTTATTCCCCACTTGAGTCCCAGAAACCCTAAATTCGTGGAGAGTCCCATTATTGAGCAAATTAGAGCTTGGAGAGGTGTTGGTTGAAGAAATCTTGAAGGAGAAGTGGCTTGGATCAAAGGGCTTTGCTTGGATTCGAGTTTGGTTGCTATTGAGGCATCTTTTGGAGGTAATACTTTCGTTCTTGGGCTGTATCTTCCTAGTTTCTCATTTTGGGGTGGTGTGGGGAGCTTGGTTGTGTGGCATCTTGATGTTTAGGGGATGGATCTGAGGTTTCTACCTCAGATCTGGAGGGGAGAAGATCTTAAGAGCATTAAAGCCCCTGTTCTTGTGTTGTTAATGAAGCTACCATGTCCCAAACCTTGGTTCTAAGGCCTAGATCTCTTTAGATTCACATAAAGTTTGCCACTTTACGTGATGGATGGATTGTAGGAGGTTGGATCTATGTTTTGGATCAATTTCATGGCCTGAGATGCTTCTGTATGGATTCAGACCGGTGGTACTCGACGAGTTGCTTGAAGATGGCCTGGAACTCGACGAGTTGGAAGAACAACTCGGCGAGTAGGTTGAAGATAGCCTTAGACTCGACGAGTCCCTTTGGACTCGGCGAGTATTGTCGAGGAAGTCCCAATATTTCTGGTTGAGTTGATGAATCGGTGAGTCAAGGGATGACTCGGTGAGTTGGGTGCCAGTGGACTCAGAGTTATTGGACTCGACGAGTCTTGGGGTGACTCGGCGAGTTGGGTCGCTAATTGAGGGAAGTTCTGAGCATAAGGACTCAGCGAGTCATCGGGTTGACTCGGCGAGTAGGGTCAATCAGGGGTTGACTTTGACTTGTCCAAGGTTGACCAGTTGTCTTCCAGGGGTATTTTGGTAATTAAGGGTATTTATTGAGTTGTATGTTTTGATGTTCAGTGGAGGAGTTCGTGTCAAAGTCCGGAGCAGCGAGATCTTATCCTTTCAGCCGACAGTTTCGAGGTGAGTTATCCTCACTATATCAACAGGGTCTAAGGCACCAAGGCCGGCCCTTTATTGGATTGAGATTTGGATATGGTTATTAAGTTACTGTTTGATGTGTCTGCATCCTCATAGCTAGGATGGTACATGCTAGGAGACCTTGTCAAGGTCAGTTTCCCGATATATATAAAGTGATGATATGCTAGTGACCGGTTAGGTCGGTAACCTGGGTAGGGTAATGATATGCTATATGATCTGCTTGTTCGGTTTTTTGGCTATGACTGTTACATGATTGTATGTTTTGTGCACATGGTTGTTTGGGCTGGAGATGGGTTGAGGCGGGTCCTGCTTTGTGCTGTAGGCCAAGATACCCAGGGTGGACCGGTTATTCCGAAGGCCCAGCGAGCGGTCCGGATAGGCTGTAGGCCCCACGAGGGCGGACCAGACGTGTCGAGGCTCGGAGAGCGGACCAGGTCGACTGAAGGCCCGATGCGGGCGGACCAGTCACACTGTAGACTCAGAGAGTGAACCAGGTGGGTTGAAGGCCCGATGCGGGCGGACCAACCCCACTATAGACTCGAAGGACATGACTAGACCTGGAGGATGGATCCAGTGGACTGAAGGCCCGATACGGCAGACCAGTCACACAGTAGACCCGATATGCATGGCTGTTCTATGTTCTGTTATGTTATGTATGTTTTATATGCTTTGGACCAGAAGGTCGTAGCCTGGAAGGGCGTATACGTGGTTGGTATTTTGGGGGTATCTCACTAAGCTTTCGGGCTTACAGTTGTGGTTTAATGTTTTTCAGGTTCTTCATGAGACTGTGGCAAGGCGAAGGCGCGATCGTACCGCTCCTCACGATTTTGTAGCAATGTGATTCTGGGAATACTCTAAATAATTTGTATTTAAAACCTTTTGTAAACATTTTAATGAAAATCGGGTTGTTTTGAAAAATTTAAATTGGTCGTATTTTTCGGATGTTACATTAGCATAGTTGAAAAATGAAATTTGGATTTAATTTAAAATGACATGAAATTTGGTTGATTTAATAGCACCCTTTTGATATTTCTAGTTGTATTTTAGTTGACTAGGTAGATTATTAATCATTTTGGTTTTGGGACTTCTTAATTATGCTCTTGGCATATAACTGAGGCTATTGTAATTGCTATTTTCCAAATATTAGGACACTACATATAAGATATGATAGTTGTGTGTGTGTAAATGTCCAAATAAAGTGTATTCTATACACTGGAATGTCATAGTAACATCTAGTATAACTCAAAAGAAGAATTACCTAATCCTGAAGCAAACTACAATTCAGGACATCTAGAAACAATAATCATGGTTATCTCAACTTCAAATTAAGAGAACTCAGAAAGTATAACCACATCAAAACATGCAATAAAAAACAAATTTGATATGGATATGATTCACCAAAACTTATATTAGGTGAGTGAGTACTGATCTCAAGCTAAGCGATCAAGGTTTCCATATACGACAACGATACCAACGAGTATCTCCTTTAATGTTTTGGACATAACCAGATACGAAGACAAGACATATAAAATCGAACGTATGAATTACTTACTAATATGCGATAACTGATTAGGGATGAGCGGAAAACCTGATGCGCTGCGCGTTGATACTATGATAAGCATATGTTAACGCGTGAAAGAAACTGAAAACCCTAATTCAACTTCTTCTGAATCCCAAACGCCATTTTCAGATGCTTACATGCAAAATACAAAAACCCAACATCTTTTGAGCAGCCATAAAAAACCAAAAAAATACAAAATTAGTTGACTAAGAAAAAATAACCTCAGCCAATGTTGTACCTAGGATTCAAAACAAAAACCCAATGTTTCATTCTTTAATCTTGTGGTATGTTGTGTTGGTGGTATAATGGGGGCTTTATTGGTGGCGCTGGTGAACCAGAAAGAAGACGAAGGATGGTGGGTGGTTGTTGAGTAGTAGGGGGTAGATAGATAGATAGATATATAGAAAAAGAGAGGGAGAGAGAGAGAGAGAGAGAGAGAAAATCAAGTGTGGTGTCTGTGACTGTCCTCAACGTCAAGATTGAGAAAATCAGGTGTGGTGTCTTCGAAGGCACCAATGGGAGGTACATGTTTGCCCTAGATCCTGAACTCCCACCAGATTTCTTCCCGGACTTCATGCTCTTCCATGGGTCGACTTTCTTCCCTTTGCCACTCTAATTATGCAGACGTACCTGCGAGAGTCGGTCCTCGAAAATTTAAGTCTCGAGTGATTCGGAGGTGGGACCACCGGTAGAGGAAGAATCATCGAGCGTTTCTTTCGTTTTGAAGGAGAAGGTTAGGGGAAGCGGTGCGTGGGATCTGAGTGGGGACAGAGGGATTGGCGTTTCGATCTTGAACTGGTATCTTGAGATGGAGGAAGTGTGTGCTTAGGTTTCTAGATGCACTCCAAACTCTTAAAGCTTATCCTGTTCGATGTTGGTGGTGGAAACTTAGGGCTTGCAGAGAGAGAGAGAGAGAGAGAGAGAGTACAGAGGTAAAGGAAGACGAGCCGATTCAAAAGGATGTGCTGATTCAAAAGGATTATTAGGGTTCTATTGTAGGATTCTAGTGTGGATTGAGTTTTTAAGGCTCAATGGCGGTGGCAGTGGCGATGGCTTAGGGTTTACAGAGAGAAGGAAGGAGTGAATGAAAAGGGAGATACTGAGGAGAGAGGGTAGAAGCGGGATTCTTCAAAATTTTAGAATTTCAGACGATTTCGTTTTCCCCCTTTAAAAACGCGCCTTTAGGCAAAAAAAACATAAAGCGACACATTTAGAGTACGCACACTTTATGAAAGGTGCCCTCCGCATTTTTTTTCTTTTCTTACACTAATGTGTGTCCACTATCCTTCAAATTTTGTAAAATTGACATTATTTTTTAGGGCACACACCAATGCGCGTCTGCTATCAGCGAGTGTCATTGTTTGCGCATCATTAAAGGGTTGTTTTCTAGTAGTGAATAAGCTCTAATGATCAATGAAAATCAAATATGAATCTCATGGTGTTGACACAAGGACTTGTAATTGTGTTGCAATCTTGAATACTCGAACGTTAATGCCGTCACCTTTGTGTTTCCTATTAACTAGAACCGTGGACATATCCATAAGAACCACTCAAGACCGAAAACACACTCATTTGGGCCACCCTTGGCTGGAAACACTCTCATTTGGGATACCTTTGGCCATAAACACCTCTAAATGGGCCATAATTGGCCGTAAACACCGTTTTTGACGAAAATCCTCATTATGTGAGAAGTACCAAGGGTTTACGGTCATACCTAGACCGCAAACCCCACCCTATGGCCGCAAACACATTAAATAA